ATTTGTAGTCCCACCAGCAATGTATGAGTGTACCTTTTCCTCCACATCTTCGCCAACATATATTGTTACTTGTGTTCTTGATAATTACCATTGTGACTGGAGTGAGATGAAATCTCAGTGTGGTTTTAATTTGCATTTCTCTGGTCGCTAGAGATGTTCAACATTTTTTCATATATTTGTTGACCGATCATATTTCTTCTTTTGTGAAGTGCCTGTTCAGTTTCCTAGTTCATTTATTGATTTTTTTTTTTTTGGTGTTAAGTTTTTTGCCCTATAGGCTTTTTAAGAGGAGATGAGTTTATGCTCTAACTAGTCACCCTGCAACCCATGAGTTATTTTTCTTTTTCTTTTTGTCTTTCTTTCTTTTTTAATTGGACTCAAGCCATGGATCATGTGGGAAACACTGAGTTGTTTTTAAAGTACTTTCAACAGTATCCAGAGAAACTGTCCTACAGGACCACTTTATATCCTCTTTTTCAGTTTACCAATGTCTAAGTCTAGAGTCTCTTCAATTTCAAGTATATTCTAAAGATACTTTTTTTCTTACTATTTCTAAAAAGCATATTAATCACTGCATCAGGTAAAATAAATTTTCCGAATGATCATTATAACTGAAAACAGAAAAAAAGTCTAAGTTGACTGTAATATTTACATCAGAAGCCCTCCTGCTACAGAAACCCATGACATTTTTAAACAAAGACACACTGATCTTATGGAAAATTTTCTTCTCTAGATAGAGAAGAAGAATTATTCTAGTTAGATGCTCCTCTTTTTCATTATATGCGAGAAAATCCACCCCAATTGGGGACAGAGCTAGAAATCTGATGATGTTCATAAGAAAAATTAAATTGCTTAGTCCTTAACAGACAGAAGATTTATAATGCCTCTGTGCATCAGTCACATTCTAGGTACACTGAGGTTTAAGCCAAGAATGGAAATTAGGGGCAAAAACTTAGCTCGCTCCTACAAAGAGGAGCTCAGAATGATACTGTGACATCAGGGTTTCTGTTTATCCCTAAGGCTGGTGCAGCAATGACTGCAAAGTTTGATGGTGTCTTTTTTTTTTTCTTCTTTCTTACTTTTTTTTTCCTTCTAAAGATGTTGAGCAGCAGGCTAATGGCTCCCCAGCAGGGTGCAAAGACAGCAGAAAGCACAGGAATCAGATGTCAATGTATTCCTCCGAGAAACCCTGCTAGGACAGAGCTAACTAACCAGGGCTTTAGTCTTCTCTGGGGGGACACGCTTTGATGGTTCCCTGCCCACTCTTGGCTTCCTATATGCTTTCTGATTAAAATGCTGTCACAGATAAATCATGACTTCTGCCTTTTAGGACCATTTTTTTTCCCTCTTTCTTTCTTTCAAGAAAAGTTTGAAACCATGAGATTAAAAAGATGATCAAGTTCTGGAGAACTATCCATGAACATCTAAATGTATGTGTACAGATATGTCAGACCTTCTTTTGAGTGGCTCCCCATGGATCAGGGACCATCCTGAAACCTTCCCTACCTGGCATGCTGCTAGGGCTAAAGCAATGGCTTGAAAACTTGTTCTTTCTCCTCTTGAGATGGAAACAGTCCATTTCTCTTGTATACAAGACGTAGGGTGAACACAACCCACTGATCATTGTTTCCTGCTGTCTTTATGTTTTTATACATTTTCTATCAGTCACTTTCAATCATTTCATTACTTTGGTAACTTCCTAATAAATAGATTTTGGAGGAGGAGGAGTCCTCATTTTCCCTTTGACATAATCACAAATTGACTGGAAATTGCAGTTATCTCACAGATAAAAGTTTTGATTTTAAATGCAATGGATTCCCACCTAGGCATATCTATTAGGGTTCCTTCAGGAACCTGAGAGTAGTGATAATTTTTATCTTTTGGTTAAGAGACAAGTCTCAGGCAGAAAGTGCCCAATCTGTTAGGGTATTCGATAAGCACAATCCTTTTAAATCCATGAAGTAAAACCGAATTACCCCGTGAGAGTCAGTGAAGTCAAAAAGCTCTGCCTGGGTAGCTGCCTGTCCATCCTCCCCTCCCCAACTTCCTATTCTGTTCCTCTCCTCTACATACAGCCTCCAGCTGGTCAGACTCCTGTCTACACTGTCCCCCCCAGCAGGGGGATCTCACCTTAGCGCTCTCTCTCTCTCTCTCTCTCTCTCTCTGTGTGTGCGTGTGTCTCTCTCTGTCTCTGTCTGTCTCTCTCTGAATCTGTTTATTTAAACTCTAGTGAGGTTTCTTATCACTCACACCTGTTCGCCTTGGGGTCGGGGCTTTGGCCATTAGAAGGGACAGCCCTTTGTCCCCCATGTACTATTCTGTGTCCTTTTGCCCTATCCCCTTGTCAACACAGCAAGACCAAATTGGATTCTTATGCTCTATATTTCAGACCATGTTATTTCAGCCTGATCACAGTTGGGATTCCTGACACTTCTCTGTTTGGCTTCTGTCCTCTCAGACTCTTTGGGTTCAAAACCTCAAACCAGTCTTTCAACACCAACTTGAATTTCCTCAGATGTTTTGGCTCAGTGGCCAGCATCACATCGGTGACTTTCCTTGCTTGACATTTCCTCAAGATTTTGTGTCTTCCCACTAATGTGATTTCTGCTTGGCGACTAATTCTAGCTCAACTCTGGAGCACCAACAGTTAATTTAAGATTATTGAACAGTGGGGAGAATATCCATTGTATGAGGTGGAACAAAATAGAGAGATTAAACTCTTGCTAGAGTTTCAATTTGAGGGCTCTTGGACAAGGTGGTTTCAAGGCCTTACAAAGAATTTACAAATGAAATTATGAAATTGAAAAAAAAATATTAGTGATAAGGAATCTAAAAAGAGCAAGATTTTCATCGTCTGCTAAATAAGAAGATAATGGTGGCAAGTACAAATATGAGCTTTTGTCAACAGCTCCTTCATATTCCCCTTGAGAATGACATGCCTCTCCCCAGAGAGAGACAACAGCGGGAGACCCTTTCATCAAAGGCACAGTGGGGCAGTTGAAAGGCCACTTCACCAAAATAAAGGTCAAGGATGAGCAGGACACATGCCTAACTTGGTAGCAATGTCACTTATCCTTTCTATATGCTAATTTTCTGCAGATGTATCTAACCTCACAGATGAATAAAGTAAAATAGATGTGAAAAATCAAGATATGTAATGTGAAGTGGTAATATTGCTCCTTAAACACTAGAAACTGCTATTTTTAGTTGAAATTCAAGTAACTTACTTTTTAACCCAAGGGTTTCAAAGTATTTACCACAATGTAAATGATAAACCCAAACAATTGTGAATCAAAAATGAAATAACATGGAAATGCACAAGAGAACCCTTTCCAGCATTTACTATATCTAATCACATAGGAAAAGTGTGTATGTTTCAAAGTAATTTTGCAAACTTAGCACCCCAAATTAAACAGCCCCACATATACATAACTTCATCCTTCTAAACTTTACTGTCAGTAAATGAAATTTATTAATTGCAAGAATAATTCATTCATCCATTTGTTGCCTAAGTGTGCACAGGAAACTGCATAACATTAGAAAAATAATTCAGTGTGGGTAGTCAAGGTCAATTTAGCAAAGCAAGAGATACCTGACCCAACAGCTGTGGGCTTTACACATGGGGGCCTGGCTTATTCTGAGACATCAGGGGTAGGAGGAGCAGATGGGAAGAAAGAAAGCTGAGAAGCCACAGATAACAAAGTATACATCATTCTTGATTCATTTTGCCCAATCTTTCATTATTGAGTGAAAGAACATTATGTTCCATTTATAACTAAAATAATCAATTTCAGATTATTTTAAAACTGTTTTTGGTTGATTATATGCCAGCAGGCATTTAATGGATCATATAAAACAAGAAATGAATTCACTTTTGTTATTTATAATTATTGAAAAATTGCATTTCCATCTTTAAGACAATATTCTGATTTGTTTGTTTCCTGGGTACTGTGACAGGGTTCAGCAGTTCCTAAAAGTACTGAAAATGAAGTGGTAGATAAGTTTGAAACTTAATGGTTGTGAGGTCTTTAAAAAACAATACTGTGCTCTTAATGGAGTTACACAGAGTGAGAAACTAAAGAGGTTCTGCTTTCCCTGCATGTTTCTCGCTTTGAAGTTAGAAAAGCAGCTCAGTTTGATTGAGCTAGGTTGGGGGTAAAGAACTCGCCAGGTTTTACAGATGAAAGCAAATGCTTAGAAGTAGAATTAAAAGCCAATGTACACTAAACTGTTAGTGTTAACTGATGCCAGCCCTAATCCATACTCAGAAAGCAGAATGTGAACCATTCAAAGCTGACACTGGTCTCCTTGCCAGGAGCTGGTCTGCACTCCAGGCAGCAGACCTAGAAATCATTAGCTCATCTCCCTCAGAATTAACTGGGTGGGAGGTGTCGTCTGCATTACAGAGAGAGGTAGATTTTGAATACCACAGGGTTAGAGCAGAAAGCAGTTTCGGGAACCCTTGTGTCTCACATAATATTAATATGGGTTAAAAAATGTGTGTGTGTGTGTGTGTGTGTGTGTGTGTGTGTGTGTGTATTATGATTTCTATGGTCAAACATGTTTGAGAGATTTAGAATAAAGTATGTTTCTTTCCTGCAGGACTTCTCTTGAGTCTTCAATATATGGCTTCCATACATGCATGGGTGTTTCCTCAGTTACCCAGGCCTGAGAGCCATTTTTGAAGAGATGATGATTTTTAGACCCTATTTGTGCTCCTTGGGGCATGGTTTGGGAAATGCTGAGATAAAATATTAGTATCCCTGCTTTATAGATGAGGAAGATGAGGCCCATGAAGATCACATCCTAGCAAGTGGTGGACAGCTCAGCTCTCCAGCTTCCCAGTACCAACTCCTGGATGGGAACTCTGGGGAAAGACAAACTGCAGCAGAGTTTGCAGCAATGTAGATGCCCTGAAAGGATCTCCCCAAAACCAATGCCTCTAGAAGTGCCATTTCTGGCTCAGTCTGGACCAGCCCGCCTCCCCAGGTCAAGATTACCTGATACAAAGGCATGCAGATGCTATCAATCCACTCCAACTGCAACCGAGGCAGCTCATCTTTCCGGTTCCGATCGAAAATAGCCTAGAACAGGGGAGGAAAGCCTTGCTTTATTACACTGGGGGTTTCACAGGTGCTTTGTCAGATGCTTCACCACAATGGTCCAATTTTACCAACTGAACACTTCACAAACCACAATCAATCCTTACGCACACTTTTTTCTTTTATCTGTAATAAGAAATAAAGCATTCCCACCTCTTTTTTTTTATGAGATTTGTAAGCAAATTTATTTGAACTTTATAGCACGCAACTCCTTGGGGCCAGAATCTGTCTTCAGATATGGGTAGCTGCTACTGAATCAAGTCATCAGGTCACTGGGAATTAGGTACAAATCAAGGGGAAAAAGATGTATTTTATTGTCACAAAAATAAAGCAGGCTCTTATTTCGGTAGTGAGAATGCAGGATAGAATGGGATAAATTGGAAAAGACCATTTAAATAAATTTTACTTTAAATAGAAACCATTTATATTAATTTTTTAGGGTCAAGAATTGGTTCAACAATTGTATTTTTCAATAAGGTTCTGCCATTAATAGATTCCTAAGTCTTTATCTGTCATTGGATGGATGATGGTGGGAGGCACCCATTTATTCTTCTTTCCCAGCCTTTAAACTTCATGAAGTTACAGTGTTTGATATAATTTAGGTGGACTGAGAAAAAGAATGACATATGTTGCTAAGAGCCAAGTATATGATGCATGGCATTTTTAGTCTAAAGGTGACGCCAGCTAGCCATTGAGATGATATGATTATGTTAAGATTTGCATTCATATGGATATTGGACTCCTGCTGTTCACCTAGGCCGGCTACGGGACTCCTGGAGAGTTCCCATTGGTTGGGGAAGTACAGTAGGAGGGAGTTCCGGGGGAGGAGCTCTCTCTGCGGGTCCGGGAGGAGGCCGCGTGGGTGGAAAAAATCTTCCTGGGCGCGTACCGGACATTGGCGGCAGTTTCAAAAAATAAACTTTGTTCCTGCTTGAGTGGCTCGTGATTTTGTGCCCAGCCAGACTGCGGCAACATGTCTGTTGGGAAGACTAGATTAGGGGAATAATCGATTGGGATTGGAGAGTTAATGGTTTTCTTGAAAAAACAATCAATTCTACTGTAGTGATAATGTCCCTCCCTTTTTCTTAAAGAAGGCCAGGGCCTAAGAAGCTCCCTTGTGCCCCTATTGGTTCATAAGACTACACTGCCTAGTTATAACTTGGCTTGCTTTATTGCCTTAGAGTAGGTGATGTCTGTCTTCTAGTTACAGTGTGGATCCACATCATTTTGATACCCTTACAGGTTCTGAGCGCAGGTCCACACCAGCCCTTGGTCCAGAGATATTGGCAATGCCTGCATCCTTCAGACTCATGAATGACAGTGGGATTGGGTAAGGCAGAAATCAGTAGCTGCCAAATCTGAGGAAAATATCTGTACACTAGGGAGAAGGTCACTGACTCCCATAGCCTCTGCTCAGACTTGTCTTATCAGAAAAGAAGATTGGACTTTGGAAAGGACATGAAATATCCTGGACAAAGTGATTACTCTTGTGAACAATGAGTCTTGGTCCAAAATGCTCCTATAAGAATATTCTCAGTCCCTTTTGTGTTTCTGTAACAAAATATCCAAAGCTGGGCAGCTCCCTAAAGAAAAGAGGTTTATTTAGCTCATAGTTCTAGAGGTTCAAGGACCCACATGTGATGAAGGCCTTTGTGCTGGCTGTCCTGAGGTGGCACAGGGCATCACATGGCAAGAGACAAGGAATGCATGTATGTGTGTCCCTCTTTTCTTATAAAGCTAGCCTGGTTAAATCACAGGGGCTCTCTAGGCTCCTAATCACCTCCCAAAGGCCCTGCCTTTAAACATTATAGTCCTTAAATTTCTATGCTCTTACTACCTCACCATGGGACTAAATTTTAATGTGTGAAACTCTGGAGAACACATTCAAACCATTCCCGAACCATGGCATTCTGTTTTATTTTCTCTATAGTTCTCTTTGCTATTAACTATTTGTTCATTTAGTTAGTTTCTGGTGAGTTTTATATACAAATACCTTTTTTAAAAATTCAGGGGTTTTTAAGTATGCTCATATACGTGTGCAACTATCTCCACAACTTTAGAACATGTTCATCACCCCGACAGGAACCCCACACCAACAGAAGCATTGTCTCCCAGGTCCCAGTCTTAGGAACCACAAATCTACTTCCTGTTTGAATTTGCCTATTCTGCACATTACATATAAATGGAATTGTATGATATGTGGTCTTTTCTAACTGGCTTCTTTTATTTAGCATAGGGGTTTCAAGGAATATCTATGTAGCAGGTATTAGTACATCATTTTTTTTGGTCAAATAATATCAATTGTATGGATAAACCATGTTTTATTTATTCATTCATTAGTTAATGGACCTTTGAGTTGTTTCCACTTTTTGGCTATTATAAATTAATGCTCCCATGTACATTCATTTGTAAATTTTTGTGTGGATGTATATTTTCGTTTCTTTTGGTGATACACCTAGATGTTGAATTTCAGGGTCATATGGTAACTCTTGTTTAACTTTTTGGTAAAGTGTTCTTCAAAGCAGCTACACTATTTCACATTCCTACCAGCAATGAATGAAGTTCCACTTTCTGCACAACCTCATTGACACTTACTATTGTCTGTCTTTTTTATTCTAGTCCTTTTAAGGGATATGAAGTGGTATTTTCAGTGGTTTCAATTTGCACTTTCCTAATGGCAAACGCTTTTGAGAATTTTTTTCATGTGCTTATTGGCCATTTATGTATTTGCTTTGGAAATGTGTTTGTTCAGATCCTTTGCACATTTTAAAAATTGAACCATCTTTTTATTTTATTTTATTTTTTTAATATTTATTTTTTAGTTGTAGTTGGACGCAATACCTTTATTTATTTATTTATTTTTATGTGGTGTTGAGGATCGAACCCAGGGCCCCGCACATGCTAGGCAAGTGCTTTACTGCTGAGCCACAACCCCAGTCCTCTTTTTATTTTATGATTATTTTTTTAAGTTCTAAATACAAGGCCCATATCAGATATATGATTTATAAATAATATCTCCCATTTTGTAGATTGCCTTTTTCAGTTCCTTTATAATATACTTTGATACAAAAACATTTTTAATTTTGATAAAGTCCAATTCAATATCTCTGGATCAACATCTCTGAAACTTATTATCTTTTGTCTCTTGTGCTTTTGGTATCATATTTAAGACACCACAGCTAAATTGAAACCAGAAGATTTATACCTATATCTCCTTCTAAGAGTTTTATTGTTTTAGCTCTTACATTTAGGTTTGTGATCCAATTTATGTTTACTTTGGGTATGGTGAGAGGTAGGGCATCAACTTCATTCTTTTCCCCTGTGGATATCCAGTTGTCCTCAAACCATTTGTTGAAAAGACTATTTTTCTCCATTGGATTGTCCACTCATGTTGAAATCAATCGACTGTAACTGTAAAGGTTTATTTCTGGACTAGTCAGTTCTTAATCAAAAATGTTTGAGGAGAGAAAAATGAGTGTGAGGTGCCACATCATCCTGTGCTTTCCCTTTACAGCACTTTGCATCTTGTAATATAATTTTCATGATTATTTAATGTCTATATTTTTTACCAGTTGACAAGGTACTTGAAGGCAGGGAAGATTGCAGCTTGATGCTCATTGCCGGACATATAGTGCTTAGCTTCCTGCTTGACACATGAAAATGCTCAACCATATTTTATTCACTGACTCCCTGCTTCTAGTGTTGACCTCTGGCTGTGGTCCAGGATAGACTTTGTCTCTATAAAGTTATTGTGATGACTTCTGGGACCATGATACCTGAGGAGCTTCAGGACAATTTTCTTCCTAGAAATGAGGAGATAGTTGGATGCAGCAGGTATCAACTCTGGGTGTATACACTTCCAGACACTTCTGGAAAGGGACTAGGGAGAGATTACTCTATCCCACAGGAGACAGTCATCAGTTGGACTAAGGAGTCTTTTGTGAGGACAGACTAGCATATAGAGCCATGTTTCCAACACAAAATTAATTTCATTTATGTCTTCAGAAAATGCCTTACCTGAGCCTAGAGAAAGGCTCCTCAGTGTTGTGCCACTGCACCTGCCAGCTCACTGGTGCTGGTGATTTACTCACATTTTTTTTTCATTTAATTAGATGACCTGTAGTATTATTGTAGTGTAAATCCTTCAGTGTATGCCTCTGAAACATTTTTTAAAAGGAGAGAATAGTTTTTATTTTAAAGTAGATCTGTCACTGGGAGAGATTTGGATTGTATTAGATTTTGATACAGAAATGTATGCATACTAACTGAATAGTTTTAGTTTTATAATGAAATTTGGTGACACCACCAAAAAAGAATAAAAGGATGTTTAGAATTCTGTATGACTAGACGTTGATTTGAAAACTAACATAATTGGTGGGTGTTTGTTATTTGGTGGAGTCTGACTCCAAGGTAATCAAGCTAGGAGATGGTTCTGCTGCTTTTTCTTGCTTTAAAATGTCAGCAAAGAAAGGCATCTTAAAACCCCTAAAGATCTTAATTTACCTCCAAATGTTCAGGACTCTACTGATTTGAATGCTCAAAAACACATGCTAGATGATCGACACATTCCTTGAACCTACTGTGCTGAGTTGCCAGGTTTTAAAATTCTTTGCACCTCTCTCAGAGTGGTCGGGTCTTATGTTTTTAGCTAATCATTCATCAGGAAGAAAGAGGCTGCCCGCTCTTTGAGGCTGTGATAGAGGTATTATGTCTCCTGCATCCTGACATGTATGAACAGCAGCATCCTGAGCCCATTGCAAGCTTTCTCAAATAATTGAATGACTGAGTCCAACATAAATAGCATTGCATTCACCACAACCTAGTTCTCCAGGTGACACTCCCCATTTTGCAAACAAAGAGGAAAAAAAAACAGGTTTGAAAAGATTTGCTTTGGAGATTTTGAAAGTTCAAAATTGGCAAATAAAATGTAATTCCTTGAGTCTGGATGCTTCGCTTTAATCTTTTGCTGTATTTCCATTCCAAAGTAGGCACATATGAAATGCCAGCATTGAGTTTTGAATTATTTGAATTTCACTCTGCATGTCCTCCCTCATACCTGCTTTTCCCACTGTGGGTGCTCAGGAAATGCTTGTTAAGTAGCTCACTGCTCTTAATCAGAAACCTGGGAATAAAGTGTTTAGCATTTAAGTTTAATTAAAGTTTTAAACTTTCAGGAGTCCTTTCTTAAATCCCTTTCTTAAATCCCTTCTCAGTCTTTCCCATTGTCGAGCTGTGATTTGGAGTTATTTTTGGAAATGTCATTCAAAAGGGTAAGTACGTGACAATAGAAGGATGAGCTTACTGAAGGAGTGAGTTTGAGTTCTGATCTCTCCCGATCTCCTTGTTCAAAGAACTCACTGGTTACAAGTTCAGCCACCTGAAACACAGAAACATTTTAACTTATGAATAGTTTACCAGGAGACTAGGGAGTTATTTCTGGCTTATGTACATGGTGATTATCTTCAACACAATCAATTAAAAAGTTTGTGAGGAAGTCTTAACCTTTTGTATTCAAAGGTATAACAGAATTTAATCAATGAAACTGATTTCCTTTTAATGACGAGGACTTGTGCAGTATATTTTAGATGCATGCCAATAGATGATTAGGAAAAGTTCTTGTGTAGAAAAATGAAACTAATAATAATTTGTATCAATACTACATATTATTACATAATAATATAGCCAACTTTTTGTTGTTTCTACCTAGATTTTTTTACTGCATTGTACACTTTAATCTTAGTCTGACTTCATCTTGCCAACACATAAACTCCCACCAATAATTGTGTGTGCACTCTAAAAGGGATACTCTGCCCCCTGCTTCCTACTGTAGCAATAAATCAAGAGGCAAAAATCAAGATTCCCATTTCATATCAGACTTTGAAAATATGTCAAGATATAGTTTGAAGAACATGGAATTTGGGCTGTCTGAATCTAAGAACTTAAAGTGTACATAGATTTATTGAAGTGTTAATTCATGGTAGGCTCTGGTTGGTACCAGTACAATGGAATGGTCCTTCTACCCCAAACCTCAGAGACCTACATTTTGGTGTGGAAGATTAACTGCCAGGCTAAAGAGATTAGTTTCTCTTCCCCAAGACTGTATGACTCAGGATAGTCATACAGCAAACTGACACAACAGATAAGTGTTGGAAAAGTATTTTCAACAACACTGTGAGGTGCATTCAAGAAATTTCTGACAATCCTAAACAATCAATGGCAAGAACACCTGGATCCTTAATCTCGTTTTCCTCTATTCCAGGCCCTTATAAAGATTTGGCAAAGTTGAGCTGTGTTTAATTTTGTTCACGTGTGCAAAACCAAGATAATTTACCTAATTGTATCTCAGAAGATGGGTCACAGATAAAACTCAAACACGTCAATCTCACACACACTTACACATGCACACATGCAGAGATCCGAGGTAACAAGTAGGCAGTAGCTATAAAGAAATTGAATATCCAGTAAATTTAGATCTGGAATACCCAACAGCATGCTTGAGTCCCTTCCAAGAATTCAACTGCTTAAAAGAAGTTGGAAGTGACACAAAACACATCGTCCTTCCCCAACCTCCAGCTATAGTCATTTCCCTTGTCCCTGCCTGTCCACTAGGACTTGATTCACTTCTGTCTGTTACAGTCTCTGCCACTACCTTTCACTTCAATGCTCCAGGCCTCTCTGTTCTCTCTCTGGCATTGCCTTTAAATAAATGATCCCCTTAGGGTCTGGCCTCATCAATCCAGTTCCCAGAATGCCCCTCAGCCCAAAGCTGGGTCTTTTGCATTAGGAAATGTAAATGTGCACATGGCACCCCAAGGTGGGAGTCCTGCACAGGTCCTTAGCCCCTGGAAAGTAAAGAAATGAAGAAATGAAGACAAAATCCTATCCTTACTCTTCCTAAAGTGGTCCTGTTAACTCCTCTGTGCTTCTTTCATAGATTAACTTGTACCACTGCTTTGTTTGTACTTAAAAACCCAATCAGGAACATTAAGTGGCTCCTGATTGAATTTTTTATTAAAGAAGGAAATTGAGATGCTAATCAGGCCTTGAGGGATCATAGGGGAAACCCACATGCTTAGTTAGAGTCATGCTTCTGAGGAAGGATTAATAGAATAAACACCAGAACTTTAAAAAATGAAAAGGAATATTTTAAAAAATCCAATTCCAAATCTAGGAAGTTAGAAATACATTTGTATTTTATAGAAGGTTCTATTCTTTTGTTCAAATGTTAATATCGAGAAGTGAGAATAGTTTTAAAAAATATCTGAACCTATTCAATCTGAGGCAAACGTGAATGACATTTGCAGCTTAGAACCACAATAAGATTTCTGATGGAAAAATTTGCAAAAACATGGTTTCATGTATTGTCTCCCTGAATTTTGTTTCTGCACTTATTGGCAGAACTTCATATCCTAAAAATAAAATAATGTTTATGGCAGTGATTAAGAAGGCCACCCATGAGCGGCTACTATTGACCTAAAATATCAATGCAGAAATTGTGTTCCTCTTAGTGAGTCTCTAAGCAACGTAGTGAGACCCTGTTTCAAAATTTAAAAAAATAAAAATAAAAAGAGCTGGGGATGTAGCTCTGTAGCTCAGTGACAGAGTGCCTCTGGGTTCAATCCCTAGTTAAAGAAAGAAAGGAAGGAAGGAAGGAAAGAAGGAAGGTAGGGAGGGAGGGAGGGAGGGAGGGAGGGATGGAGAGAAAGAAGAGAAAGAGAAAAAAGAAATTTTGTTCCTTCCCTCCAACTTTGCCACATCACTTTTTGTCCCACGTGGGCTATTGCTTCCTTAGCTCTTGGGTTCTTGGCATATTTCACTGGGTTTTCCAAAGGCCCTGGCACTTCATACCTCAGCCCACTCAGTTTTCAGTCTTCTCTACTTTTGTGAGAAACTTCCCCACTATCTTCACTTCTCCACCTCTTCCCTCTTATGGCAGCCAGACAGTACTACACTTTCCTCACCTACCTCTTCTCTGCAGTCTATTCTCAAATTCAATCTTTCCACACAGTAGGTAGAAATGTTGAGATACTACCAATTACACAGATTCTTCACAGTTACCCTGCTTTATGTGGCTTTTTGTGACTTCAAATATGTTCCAATGAAATTAAAACCAGAACTCAAATGGAGGAGAGTTTTATAGGAGAAATGCCCAATCTGTATTCAACTGTGATATAAGCAAGAAATAAACATCTATTTATGTTAAGCAACTGAAATTTCAGAATGTATTTGTTATTGCAGCAACACTTAGCCTAAACTTGACTAATAAAAAATTGGTATAGAAGCAAGGTACAATTGCATAAAAAAGAAAGAAAACATCTTGGAGTATGTGGCATAAGCTTGACATTAATCAGTGAGGAGGGTTTTAGGATCACAATCTATGTTACACAATTTTGTGTAGTTACCACTGCAATGAAGCTAACAGTATTCTGAATAAACTTATAGTCTTAGGCAAAGAGATTAGAAATAATGTTAGTAGCATGTGTTGGTTGGTACGGACTGTTTCACTAGGTATTCTACAGGAGTGAATTTGGAAAATGGCCAGCATGTTTGTAACTAGGAATGAAAGATAACAGAAAAATACAAGATCTTGTACAGATGGAAGATTAAGTTGCTTCTCAACCTTAAAACATAAACATTAAAATTAAGGTATGCTTTAAATGGGAAAGGTATACTAAGACTCAGTCTCACAATAAGAATCCAATTAAAAATATAGCCAAAGCATCTATACTTTAAAATTCTGAATGAACTAGGGGATACACAACAGAACTGGACAAAAATGTCTCAAAGAAATAATTTAACATGGTTCTCTCACTGAAACCTGTGAGGCCCAAAGTACTAGGGATTAAATCACAAGAGAGAGAAAGAAAAGTCTATTTACTATATTTCTTTATTCCTCAATATTATAAGGAAGTGACAAAAAACACCTAAAATGTTTCTATGAAAAAGAGCTCTGTATATGGTTATTGGCAAATGGAAATAATTAGAATAAAATATATATAGGAAGCTGACTAAATGTTTGAGAGAACTTTAATGCCAAAGCATCCCTGATCTTGTGTTTATGTAGAAAGTCTTGGACCCTCAGCCATCTTTGGGTGAGAAACAGGGTGAGAAAAGCTGCCTGACCTGCAGATAAGAATAACTTTCCAGAGTATGGAAAACAATTAACTGGACAGCATCTCCCAGCCCACTAGCATGAGGACAACCCTCATGAAGAATGTCCCATGGGGTTTGGGATTTGCCAAGAACATTGACTTCCAAATGTGGCTCATAGCTTCCTTTTCTGAATGGGAGTGTGTGATGAGTATTTTGTGTTTGGAGTGGATGTTAGCCACTGTATCTGGGCATATGTAGGTGTTTAATTTTCCTTCATACATTTTGTAGAGGTGAGCACATATTACTCAGAGATTCTGGACTTGGAGTTTGATGCCATGACTAATGGGATGCAGCTTTTCTTGGGGAGAGGATGAGTACATTTTGTTTTCAAGAAGGAGAATGAGTTGTGTTTTTGGTGATTATAAGGGCAGACTGTGGCAGTTCTGCTTTTACCAGCTATTCTGGCTTTCTGTTTGCTGGACACATTGAAGGATGTCGAGTGGGGTTATGTGAGCTGTTGGGGCCACTCAGTTGTTGAAGAAAGCATTTAACTAGCAGAGCAAGATCCTCCCAGGGCTCCTCCAGAATGATCCGGATAGAGACTGCTCCATCAGCCCAGTCTGGATGAGGACAAAGAGCTGCCAATCAACTCTGGATACACATGTTCATGAGCACTTTGTTGAGATTTTTGGGCTTAGTGATAACATAGTCAATTCTGTAGACACATTTGCATCACTGAAAATTGCTGAGTGATGTATCATGTGTAGGAAAGCAAAAACATGATGGATCATGAAGGATGGGAGCTTAATCTACTAGACTCTATTCCCTGTCCACCACCTACTACTGGAGGACCTCAGACTACTTATCCTTTTTAAATCTCATCTTTCCCATTTGTGAAATGAGGATAATAACTGGATTTATTTCTTAAAGTCACCAAACGATACCATACACTTGGTGGCTAAGTCAACAGAAATTTAATCTCTCATAGTTCTGGGGGTCAGGAGTTCTTCATAAGCTCACTGAGCAGAAATTGAGGTGTTGGCAAGGCTGTGCTCCCTCTGAGGCTCTAAGAGAACATCCGTTCCTTTTCTTCAGTTTCAGGGGCTACCAGCTTTCCTTGGCTTATGGTCACAAAGTTCCAATCTCAGCCTTGCCTTCATATTGCTGTGTCCTCTTCTGAATGTGTGATCTCCTTTGCTGTCTCTTATAAGGAGACTTGGGAAAAGCTGAATATCCAGGGTAATCTCCCCAGGAAGGATCTCATATCCTTATTTTAATCACATCTGCAAAGATACCTTTTCCTCATAAAGTAATGTTTACAGGTTTCAGGGGTTAGGACCTGATATCTCTGTGTGGACATTATTCAGCCTACTATAGTCACTCTTTGTATCTTAAAGGGGATTTAAAGAATAAAGTTATTTATTGATATATGAATGTATCTTATTTCCCTAAAATGTTAAGTCTTAAGATACTAAGCTACTATTTTGTACCCCACAGTCCAATTAACTTAAACTTAAACTTTGAAAAACATGCCTATAGGCCAGACACAATGGCACCCATCTGTAATCCCAACATCTTGGGAGGCTAAAGCAGGAGGACTGTGAGTTCAAAACCAGCCTCATCAACTTTATGAGGGCCTCAGCTACTTAGCAAGACCCTGCCTCAAAATAAAACTTAAAAAAATAAAAGGGACCAGGGATGTGGCTCAGTGGTTAAGTGCTGGGTTCAATCCATAGTACCAAGAAAAGAAAGGAGAAAAACAAAAGCAAAAAACCTATAATCTCAGCACTTGAAAGGCTAAAGTGGGAGAATTACTTGAGCCCAGGAGTTTGAGACCAACCTGGGCAACATAGTAAAACCTTGTCTCAATAAATAAATAAATAAATAAATATTGAAATAAAACCAAGGAAAGAGCACTTAAAGTGCTATTAACCCCTAAATAATATCAGTAATCAAGAATCTTGAGTTGGGTAGTTACTTGATGGAAAACTATTGCTGCTATAAAACCAATGTTTATTCAGGGACAAAAAACAGATGGGTATAAAGGCATGGCCTTTTGGGTACAAATCAAATAGAACACTGCATACTTTGACCGTGAAGTCCTTTGATATATAAATAGTATTGAAAAGAAAAATAGAATTTCCTTTTCACCCACGGCTCTTTTTTTTTTTTTTTCAGATGTGAAAACAGGCCTATTCAAAAACATTATCTTTGAATGCTTGTCTTAAGATGTGGTCAAGATGCTATTCCAATTTAGCATGTTACAAAAAAATCTTAAGAGATGGAAATAGTATTGCTCAGTAGAAGCACAATGAAGAAAAGGTTTTGCGATAAACAGCAGTGCAACTGATTCTGCTCTGCTGCTGCTTTTTACACCATGTTAATAATACTGATGCAAATTGACTAGGGTTTCATTGCCTGGCAGTCAGGGGCTCTGGGAATATCTCCCCCACCCCACCCCCCACCAGTCCCTCCTCTGCTGAGCCCTGCCATTAATCACCACTTGCCTGTCTGGAGATCTCCCACGGTTTGGTCACGGCTCCAAGGTCACAGGCTGTCATTAACATTGATCTGAAAAACAGAACCAAACAAAACAGCCTGAATAATCTTTTGTTGCATTCCTAAACAAACCCATCCTAGATACATAAATAAATAAAATGGAAAGGAGGCCAGCTCACATCTTCTTTCCCTCAACAAGGGGCAGCCCTGTTTATAGTCCCCGCTGTTCAGCATCTCTATCATGAGGCCACACTGCTTAGGAAGACAAAGCTCTCACACATTCTCCTGTGGCCCTTTTGTTTTGTCTGCAGCAAATCAAGGAAAGCTACTTGCTCTCTACCTGAGCTAAGCAAGCTCTTGAAAATAATTTATAATAGATCATTTTTTAAAAAAAACGATAAGCAAGGGAATCTGTATGTAACAATATATACATTCCAGTATGTACATTACAAACTCATCCCTGATGGAAGGGAATGGAAGAAAACCCATACCAAAGAGAAGAGGCACATACCACATAAGTGCTCCTTCATTTTCATGGGCTCCATGGAACCAGGATTTATGAGGGAGAGCCTCGCCGTTTCACTCCGGTTTACTACCTGGCTCCCATCATGTTTTATAAGCATTATGAAGAACCACACTCAGCTCCAGCTTTCCTTGATTTGAGCACATAAGAAAGCACAGGAATGCTTTGAATGAGAATTTCAAGGGGCAGATTTATCTAGGATTCATAGCAAACCATGGAAACATGGGAACAATTCAAATTGTGGATAGTTCTAGTGCTTATCATTTGATGTGGTAGGTGGCAGGGGGAGCACATTCCTTGTCCCAGATCTGTTTTCTTTGGGCTAAAACCAGCAGCATGTGATGAAAAGTAAGACAGGATTTGAGCTGGGAAATCACATTTTGGCTGATGGCTTTGGGAAGAAAGGCTGTGTTGTTAGGGGTCAGAGGCCTGTCTTGCTCCCAGGGTTAACATTTTATACCACTCCTCATCCCAGTGCCTTGGAAACAGGTCTGCTGCCCAGATGGCAGAGGGCCTCCAAGGTAGGGGGGGTTTATGTAACTTCCACAGGATACCCCTCCAGGGAACCAGGCCGAGTACAGATGACAATAGGCCATTCAAGGCACAAGCTAACTGCACCAGTATCCACAGCCCTCTGGGACAGGGGCAGCACTTAGGAAGCATGGAATTCCCAACACCCCCAAGCATTATGCAAAGGAAGACATACCAATCCAGTCTTCATTTTTTATTTTCTCTAAGGAGCATTTCTAAAGTGCTCCCCATGTGCCTACTTCTGTACTAGATGCTTTCTTTTCTAACTGCTAATTTGTAGCTAAATGAATTCTCATTACAACCCTCAGGGTTATTATTCTCATTTTCAAATAAGTAAAGAGATGCATGAAGAGATTTAAGTAATTTTCCCAAGGTGAGTAAAACCTTCAGGATTTTGTGTTTACCACAACTGCCAGACCCCCTCCCAGCACTCCAATGTTTCTCATTTCAGGTTCTTTCAAACCCAAGGGGACAAGACTTTGGATAATGCATCAGACTTTGTCGTCTCTTGGATAGGAAATAATCTCTTGAGGGGGTCTACTTACATCACAACTTGAGATTTAGGTTATATTTGATTAAGCATTTGAAACATACTTCTCAAATTCATATTGCCTTAATCAGTTGATCAATACATATCTTGAGTATCTGTTAGGTGCTCAGATGATGATAATTCTAATAGCTAGGATTTATTGAACAACCACTTCTGGGTGACTGGCATAATTTCTATATGAGGCAAGGATACTATTATTATCTCCATTATAGAGATTAAAAAATTATGGCTCAAAAAGGTGAAGTAACTTTCCCAATGTTAGACAGCTAGAGAGTCAAAGCTAGGATTGGAATGCACAAGGTCTGATGAGGAACAGAAATGGAATAGAAAGTCTCTCTCGAGGAGGAAGAAGCTGGGAGGTAGGATAGGTGGAGTGGCTAAAACTTTTACCCAATTGGCAGTGGAAAGTCAATCAAGGTTGGGACAGACTGTATTAGGCCTTTAGGGAGAAAACTTAAGCTGTGAAGACAGTTTGAAGAAAGAGAGTGACAGGAGGGAGAGCAGCTAGAAACATCAATGGGTAAGTACCTAGGAGGTCAAGGAGAGTGGAAATGAAAGGACAGGTGGAAGATTATGAAGGAAGAACTGAAGGACATGAATGCATGGTTTTATCTCATTTTTGAATCCTGTATCAGAAGTTAAAGTTAAAATTATGTTGAAGTTAAAATTAAAGTTAAAGTTCCTTTCTACAGTAACAGGGCAGGGAGCGAGTTTGCATCAACTGTTAAATTGTAGTTCAATTTACAGTGAAGTTGTGTCAATCTGTTTAGTGCAATTGATTGAATGGTCTGCAAGAATGAGGGTACAACTGTCCCTGTTCTAGGTAGGGTGGGAAAACCCAGCGTCTCTGTTGCTCTCAGCAGATCATTTTCAACATATCTTTCCTCTGTATGCCAAAATTATCTCAATAATAATCTAGTGATAATTATCTTCTTGATTAGTTCTGTAGTTAAAAACAATCAGCAATGTAAAAAGAAGAAACTTTAATTTTAAAGATATACTCAAATTCAGCAAAAGATTTCACGTAGGAACTGAAATTTGCACTCACCACATAAAAATATTATGCCTAGCAGTCTGCACCCCATTTCACTGTTTTAAATTTTAAACAAATAAAACCCACAAATGGTCACACACACACACACACACACACACACACACACACACACTCAATGATGGAACAGAAGGAAGGCAAGTCATGCTTCATCTTTCCCACCACAGTGCTGTCACTGTTTATTCAGTACACACTGAGTCAAAATCAGGAACGTGAAGTTCCGCAAGGTTGGAGGCACAAACCACACCCAGAGCAAGTTCAAAAGGTCCCAGAGAGGACCTTACTCTTGAAAGCATGTAGCTGGGCCACTTGTGTCAGGACCAACTGTTTGCTCAGGTATTCTTGGATTTAGCTTATAATTTATGTATAATAAAAGGATAAGTAATAAATGTGCTAATTTGAAGCTTTCATATCAATGGTTTTGATCTTTATTAGTAACCTCAGCAATTTTTTAGAATTTATACAAGCAAAGATTTTCTTCAGGAAGAAGAAGTTCATCATTGACTTCATTCAGAACTGTTGGCATATGGCAATGATGAAAAACAAACTGATCTTTGGTTGGCTTTATTACTATCTTAAAGTTCTCTATAGATAGAGCTTTGGCAGAGCCCCACTGTTGGGGATCCATGCTCAGGATCTAACCATGTGATGAGGGAATGAGGGCATGAAAACACCTCCATTTTATATATTGTGCTTCCAAATAAGATATTTTTAGCATAATTTTAATAAAAATCTTTGTATAATTAGAAAATAAGAAAATAATTACAACAATTGGTGATAAACTTTAATTTGATTTGTGAGATGTTGTTTTTCATTTGGATAGCATTTGAAATGAAGCATTAAAATAGATTTAGAACAAGAATTTAATTAAAAGTAATTCTGCAAAGACATTTGCCCAGTTACTATCTGTTCAACTTCAGATAGGCACTACCCTATTCCTGAGGGGGTTCTCGTCAAAAAATGTTTGAAAACTTCTGCAGGAAAACATCTAACATCCAGATGGAGATGAGCACTGAATGAGCAGTGGAATTTTAGGAATGAAGCTCAGAAGAGAGAGAGGGGCCCGAGAAACAAGCTGGGGGTCTTTTGGGAAGATGGTCATTGAAACCCTGAGGACGCTGAGGAACAAGAGAATCAAAGACAGGTCCTTAGGGGAACTTAGGGGACCTTAGATACCTTTAGCAGTTGGTGGGGAGGAAGAAGGGCTAGCAAAGGACAAAGGGGAGGGAAGAGAAGGGCCAAGGGGAAGGGAGAGTCAGCATGGTTTTGCAGAATCTAAAGTTGGAGAGAGATTTAAGAGGACAACTCAGTTAGGGGCTATGAAGCCAACTAAAGAGAACAAAGACTAGAAAACAAAGACTAGGTGTTTGGTGACTTTGAAAGGAGAAGAATCATGTGTCACAGACTTAATTCCTCTATGGAGGAATAGCTAGTATCTGTAAATTTTGGAATATATGTCACAATAAAAGACAATTGAGGTAAAGACATGGAAAGAATTAGGCGGTTCACAGTTAAATGAAAAAGCAAGCTCAGATTGGTATGCAAATATATGATCTATGTTAATGTGAACAAAAAAAAATTCACACTGAACAATATTTTTCCCCAAGGGTATACAAGTATATGAATGCTTTGGAAATGGTATGGAAAGATACAACAAATTGATAACAAAATTTAGCTGTGTAACAGGAATTGGTATGTGTACAGGAATTGGTATGGAGCTCAAAGGAGATTGGGGGTTGTAACTGTAATGATTTAGTTTATTACAGAAAATGTATTCATAGAACTATTCGTGAAATTAAAAAAATCACATAAAAAGAAAGAAATTCCCTTTCAAGGGATTGTGCCAGCGAAGAGTGGGAAACTAAGATGGGACCTGGAGAAGGGGCAGGCTTTACAGATAATGTTTCTCTAGAGGAGGTAGAAGTATATGTTCAGATGTAGAGAGGTCAGAGAGAGAGAACTAGGTTTTGAAAATGGAAGCCAAAGTCAAGAAATGGTGCTGCAAGGCTGATGGTGTGGGATTGGGGAGGTGGAGGCAGGCAAAGGAATTAGTAGTGGGGTGCTTCCCCCCTACCAAAGGACATTGAAGAGTCCGTAAAGCTGACACAAAGAGGACTGCGGTTGTGGCTCAGTGGTAAGTGCTTGCCTAACACGTGTGAGGCACTGAGTTCGATCCTCAGCGCCACATGAAAATAAACAAATAAAATAAAGACATTGTGTCCATCATCAACTAAAAACAAAGTAGAGAGAAGGAAAATGCAGGGCCCTTTGGTGAGAACTCAGGAGACAATGACATGATGACAGCTGCGGATCGGGGTGGGTGGAGCCCTGTGCTCCTGAGCTGCTGGCAGAGGTCTTCTGTAACAGTCAAGGGGCTGTGACAGAAAGCCTGCTCCGATCCAGATCCAGTGGTTGCCTGGTTATGCACAGTGTGTCCTAATGTCGCCTCTCAGGCTTCCCCAGTAAAATCCAGCAGTATGAGAAGGAGGAGCCACAGAAGGTCTGGGGAGGTGAGGTGGAGTCTGAGGCGGAGTCAGTGGAAGGATGGGGTTGAGTAGAGGAAAGGTACCTAACTACCTGGAGGGGCTGTGGACACTGCAGTGTAACAATGGTTTGCTGCTACTCTTCCTGAACACTTGGGAAGAGGTCTCCTGCAGCTTAGAACAGGCTTCCTAATTCCAGGCCCCCCACCCCCCACGCCCCACTCAGGTGGTTCTGATTGGTTTCTATCCACAATGCCTATGGGCTTTAAAGAAAAACCAAATTAGCTCTCCATTTTTCTTTGTGCTGGATGACTCTGCTTTCTAAACCTCACAAATCCCCAGCCTCCCTACTTGCACCCCTTCGCGCCCCGCCCCCCAGGAAAAAGTAAAAATGATGGCTTGTTGAAGCTGAACTAATTCCAACATTATTTTCTAATTTTGGAGGGAGATCAATGGAGAGAAGGCAAAAAATAAATTGTAAGACAAAAAAGACGCATTCTTTATCTTATCTCTAGTTATTTAACTAATTTCAGAATGTTTTGAATGTAAGCTAAGATTCGTTATTTTAAAAATCACTTATATGCTCTTAGTGCTGTCAGAAAAGTGTGACTAAATGTTCAACTAATGAAAAAACACATAAACATAAGCTTTTTCTTACCGAAATATATCACGATGGTTTTTGATGCTCCAATCATATTCTCCTTTACTGACAAGTTCAAAGAATTCAGTTCTCCTCCTGCAGGAAAATCAAATGAAGAAAGGGGGAAAAAAACAGCTGAAATGAAATTTCTCGGGCTGTGGGGTGACATAAACACATTTATGGGGAAAATATAAGACCATCTGAACCAAGTAACTTGATATTTGAAATCATGAGGCTAAAGCACTATCAAAATAAATCATTTTTTTTTAATGTTGAGGCTTCAAGAAAAAGTCACAATCATTTCTGAATGTATTTACAACAAAGGAGATTATAGGGCCATAAAACAGAAAACAATGTGGTACTGCATTTAGGATTATGTGCTGCGAAGCCCCCGTGACACTTTGTGAAAGTCAGAGAAGGGATGCAAGGACAAATAAAAAACAGAAACAGTCTGGAATGTTTTCTATCATTCAGCACAGAATTGAGCTTGCATGATGAACCAAGATAAGATAAACTCCCTGGTAGTAAATTTAAGACAAATATTTGTTTTCCAGGTTAGAAAATAACTATTTCACTACTTTAGTGCTTAAACACATAGGCTGTGGGGTCAGAAAGTAACTGTGTTAAACAGTGGCTCAGTCACCCACATGCTGTGCAACTTTGGGAAGCTACTTAAACCCTCTGAGCCTCATTCCCTATTATCTGATATGGGAACTATATCTGCTACCTCATGGAGTTATGCAAGGATTAAATGAGATGACCCATGCAAAGTATTTAGCACATGTCAGAGGGTTTTCAGTGTTCAACACACAGGCAACCCCCATGCTCCATGGATCTGGAGACGTGCAGATATGGAAAAGACAAGGAACATCTTAAAATTGTGAAAACAGGGTGTCTTATTCCTATTTCCAAAAGATTTTTAATCTAGTTATATGACTCTTTTTTCTAGTGAAAAAGGAAAAAAAAAAAGAGCTCATCACCATTTTAAGAATTTGTCCCAAGTTTTCACCCTTTTGGCATTTCCCAAGGAGACAGCATTTAAAGGCTCACCACGCTCCATGTTCCAAACCACATCCTACACAAAGTACCATCTGAAGAGCTGCTCCCAGTAAGGAAGCCCTGGCCCAGTAGGTGTGAGCATGCTGCCTCACGGTGAGGCCTCTCTTTGGGACACTACCCTTTGGAAGGCACTGAAAATACTGAGGTATAAAAGCCTGTTTAACCTTATTAAACTGTGGGATTCCACGTAGTACTGATGTTTTAAGGAATATATTTTTGAAAATACCACCACAACATACCGTTCATTTATGGTGGCAATCAGAATAGGATCTGTAAAACTTAGTGCTGACCCCTTGTATTTGGGAGGACAAAGGACACAATGCTGTGAACCACCAGCTCCCCTGTGTCTGGCTTGGTGCACACATCACCAACTGACCCTCTCTGGCTCTCTGCTCATTGGTCAGACTGACTCATCAACTTACCTGAAAGGGGTCAGGTCAGGAAGACAAGTGTGTAGCTCACTTCTTCATCCAAGACACAGACAGGTCTTGGACCTATCCCTTCAAGTGGATGCAGGCCCAGGACACACAAAAGCATGGAACAACGTCCAAGAGAACCCCCATGGTTGTCAGCAGAGATGGCAGGGTATAGTAACATGAAAGGATCAAACAAACAACCCCCTCCTCTTTAGGTGGACGAGAGTGTGCGGACCTTTTTTTGTAAACTACCATTTTCTTCATTTGGCCCACTCCCTCCTTAATGACCATGATGTCTTTGTCACATCACCACCACTGACTGTGAACTGAAATAGAAAGAGAGGCAGAGGAGTGGGAAGTGCCAGGGTTTGGGCTCACATTGACTTGGGCCTGATGCTGTCACTTCCTGTCACTTACTGTCAGATTCTGGGTAAGTAACTCTAGATTGCTGAATCTCAGTGTCTAGTTTTGTGGTAAGATTTTTACACAAGTCCTCTGCTAAGTGTTCAGCACTAGTAGATACTCAACACCCCACAGCCATGGTTAATATGAAAATATAGTAATACATAGTATTGCTGCCAATAATAATATACACAGTGGGCCAATAGGGCTACCTGGAAACTGAAGAGTTTATTAGTCCTCCACTCTTGCTGAATAGAAAGTAGTCTTTTTAAAATTTTTGTGAAGCAGAAAGTTGAGTTCAACAAATATTTACTGAACATATACTCTGTGCCAAGATTTTTCTAGGCTTTATGGAAACAAGACATGGGTGGTATCTTTAAGGATCTTTGAGGTTGGCCAGGGCAAATTGACAGGTAATTCCCTCTTCAGATGTGATGCTAATGATACTGGGACTAAAGTGAGGTGAGGGTACCATGGGCACAAAACTTAAATGGGTGCTCAAAGGCTCAGCAAATGAGATGAATAATATTTTAATGCAGTATTCAAGAAATAAAAACCAAATACAAAATTCATGATGAACAAACTAACAAAATACTAAATAAAGACAAAATCTGAGCAGGGAGCCAGCCACAGAATGCACACCTATAATCCCAGCCACTCCGGAGGCTGAGGCAGGAGGATCACAAATTCAAAGCTAGCCTCAGCAACTTAGGTTTTTTTTTTCTTTTTTTTTTTTAAAAACAAAAGACAGGATCTGACCTTTTACTCAAACAATCCACATCACTTGCCTCACCCAAGTCCTGGGCTTGATGAAGCTAACATTTATAGGCTCCTTTCTATGCAGACTTCCTGGGTTCTGTCACTTACTACCCACATGACTGACTGTGAGATGGTCTCACTGGGCTTCAGTTTTCTTATTCATAGAGAGTAATAATGAGATCTATCTTGAATGGTTGGTGGGAGGACTAAATTAAATGTTTATATAAAACATGTGGCAGAGTGCTTGGCAAAAAGTAGGTGCTCAGGAAGGACCATTACAGTTCTTAAGCTCAGAAGGGCTGAGTACCTGGCCCCAGGTCTCACAGCTGATGAGCGGCAAGACTGGAATACAAATGCAACCTGCTGGAATACCAGCTGCTCTAAACAGTTGAGAGAGGCCCAGGGTGTTAAAGGGGCACAGAGAAAGGCACTTAGCTTGGAGTGTCTGGAGGATCACGAAGGCTTTCTGGAAGTCATCATCCTTGTCATCCTATGCACCTGAGTGGCCACGTCAACCTACGAGTTATTCCAAGAAATCGCCAGAATGCAAGCTTCACGAGGACAGGGGCCTGGCCCATTTTTGTTCACTCCTATAAATGCCATGCCAGGAACAGTTCCTGACATGTAGCAGGAGCTCAGTAAATATGTGTGAAATTGATGACAGAATGAAAATGATTATCTCAGAGAGCTATTCATTTTTTAAAATAATTCTTTAGCCACTGATTTTACTTAGATTCTAATTGTTCTAGGGGCTTCCTACATGCCATTTGGAGAGACTCAGGTTTGAAAACAATGTAAAATCTGTTCAGGGAAAATCCTGTCAGATTCTTGCAGACAAGATTCTAGCTGGAACCATAGCAACCTGCATGAAATATGAACACAATTCCCATTCAATCTTTGACCTACCTTCTACTATTGCTATGTCTGCAGGTAGTGTGTTCAACATATGGGTCATAACATCTTTGGTGCAAAGCAGGGTCATATTGCCTAGGTGATCAACTCATTACAGAAAACAAATTCCTTTTTCAAAAAAATCCTATCTCTAACATGACAACTGAATAGCATCATAAGAATTAATTCCCCAGTGCTGGAAATTTTTATAGCTAGAATTTCTGGTATGAAATTCCTAAACAAACTAAACTCATAATTAGTCATGGCTTTCCACATGACATTAACAAAATTGGATTCTATCACACTAGGAAAAAAGAGAACATTCATTTCCCCTAGAGGCTGGTAGGTAAAGAAGGGGAGGGAGAAATCACTTCATAAAACATAAAAATGAGGCATATTAATGTGGACTTTCCCTCCATTGCCAAAGTGTGGCTACTTCATGACAGGTCTTCCAAGGTTTGGCTATGACCTCAGAAGATAAAGGGAGTATCACTGCACACTATAATTTTATCAACTTAAACATGAACATACACATGTGTGAGTATACACACACACATATACATACAAATGTGTATATGTATATGTGAGTACGTACATGTATATGTATATATTAAATTGTTGGTCATAGAATGAGTTCTGTGTTGGAGTTTTCATTATTTTTATGGACCGTGAATGCTGTATGAAGCTTTTGACAGAAATCTGCCATAATTTTCTTATTTTATAGATGAGGAAACTCAAGGTGAAGTGATTCACCCAAGGTTCCAGGGCAGTTATTAGTAGACCGAGGTAGATTCCAGCTCTTTAGGTCTAGTCTCTGAGACAATCTCATTAATCTATTTGCAGTATCAACCTTTGGGGCTGGAAAGCCTTTCGTGTTTGAGTTTATGTTTAGTCATAGCTGCCAATCCTCATGAGATGTGATGGCATCATAGGCTGCTGTACTGAGGCAGAGCCAATCAAGGCGGACACCAGACAGGTCTCTCCATCATTAACAAGGGAATCCTCCAGGAAGAGCTCAGATGTTCAGGTTGGTGGTTCCCAGCTGCAGGTGGTATATTTCTGACCTCCTCCTTGGTGATAAGCATTACAAAGCAACAACAGTGAATTCACTGTGCTTTTGGGAATGAGTCTCCCCATTCAATCGCTCCTTTTAACATCTTTCTGTGTATATGTGTATAGATAACACAGAGTCAAAAGCATGAACATATGTGAAACTGTTGGAAAAAAAAGCATTTTTTAGAACATGGGACTGTTAAAATGAATATTTGAAAATCCACAAAATTATATAATACTCCCCAGATTCACACTCCTTTGTCAAGAGGAACTATATCATTAACTTCTCAAGCAGATCATTGGGAACCTTGGTTTTCAAGGACAATGGCAAGCACCTAGGCTAGTGAAAAGCAACTTACTGGAAAATCTCATTTATAATCAGATATGTTTTTATTAGGCTTTTATCCGGCTCTGCTGACATATGTTCCACTCAGAAAAATAGCAGTCTTTAAGAAAGTTAAAATTACCCTCAAAAATAATTCTAAGGATTGGTTACCAGTCACCCATTACTACTTG